GATCAAAAATGAATACACAATCAAGTTCAAAATGGGGAGATTAGAGGAACAGACATTTCGGCCTAGGGCTTAAGCCTCTGGCCAGGACACCTATTCTCCATGATGGCCCACCTGGGTCCACGTCCTGGCTCCTAACGCAGACTCTGGGAGGCCATGAGGATGGCTCAGGACACTGGGCTCCTGCCAACCTGGTATGAGACTGGGACTTTGTTCCCAGATCTGTGTTTTGGCCTGGCTCGATCTAGGCCACTGCCTCAATCTGGGGAATCAATCAGCAAAGAGACCTGTGTCTCCCTCAAACAACAGCTAAGAATTTATAAGCAGAGATTTTTCCAAAGGAGATCTACACATGGCACTGAGCACAGGAAAACATGTAGCATCTTCCATGACTGGGAGACAGAATACAAACCATACTGAGAGCCTGCTTCACGCTGACGAACAGTAGTGTAACTACACATGGAAAATCCTCTGTATTGAAGACCATGGAATTGCTGTCAGCAATCAAACACAGTGTGGAAAAGCTGTGAGGATGCCCAGTTACACAGATAACTGTTGCAGGACCACAAATCCCACTCCCGCCAACACACTCAAAGGAACTAAACACAGGTGTTTCAACAACACTCGGGTGCTTTGTACGACAAAGGAAGAATCCAAATGCCCATCAGCAAATCTGGGAACACATGGACAGAATGACTGATGCCTGAATGCCATCTCAACAAGGCAGAGTCCGAAAAAGCAGCACTGTCAATTTAAAGAAAATACACTTTGTATTTGAAAACACATGTCCCTGAACAATCTGAAATGCCAAAAAATCATCAAGTATGACAGTCATTGTGAAATGACAAGCTTATTTTAAAAATGAGTGCACTCCTACAATGGGGCAAGTGGACAGAATCTGGCACATCCCTGTGCTACACACGACCTCATGGCTTCCATCCACCTCTGCCGGAATTCCTGCTGCTTCACAGAGGAGCATGCTGTGGTTCACAAAGTGAAGGCATCTGCCCGTCACACAGCAGCAAGGCAGCAGCGCAGGGCAAAGCAGCCTCGCCTAAGGGGAAGGATGTGCATGCGGGCTCCTCCCAGGGGCTGAGCCAGCACGTCCTGTGGAGGACCAGCGAGTGTCCACAGCAGTGACAGACAAACCCTCATGGCCGCCACTCTCTCAGAAGGCACTTGTCAAGAATGAAGTACAGAATGTGAGTCTGTTGGGTCCAGCGAGGGGAGTGCCACTCTACAGAGCAGCAGCATCAGGGACCAGGACCTCTGCCCATGGCCTGTGGAGCGCCGCCAAGGAGCTCCATGCCGCCATGTACCCTTGCCTGGTGCTTCACCTGGCCTCTGCTCAGCTCTAGCTCACACAGGACACTCCAGACTCAAGCTACGCAATACGAAAAGTAGGAAGCACGAAAGTGTAGGGGAGGAAGGGTAGGGGATTGGGCGGAATACACAGTCATGAAGAGGCCTTAGTCAAAGCCCTCTTGGGACTGGGGTCTTCCCCTCCTTCCCAATCACATCACGACATTCCCCTTTCACCTTCTTTTCCTTGCTCTTGGAAAGAACTGTGAGGTTGCAGAGTTCCCCTCCATTCTGGGTGACAGGTGCAGGCATGGGGACCTCTGCATGGGGCTAGCACTTCTCACACTGCTGATTACAGATGCTCATTTTCTAACCTGAGGAAGAGGTGTGCAGATGCCTGGAGCCTGACTCAACAAGGACAAATGCCAACTGCTCACCATCATCAGGCCCTGCCTTTGCTGGAGTGAAACACAACTGGCCACATACTGGCAGTACTCAAGACTGGGTGACGGCCACAAACAAGTTCATTGTCCTGTTCTAGCCTGCTCAATAGTTAAAATTTCCCAAATAAGGATATGAAAAAGGAAGTGTGGGGTCCTGTGCCATGGCACAGTAGGTTAAGCATCCATCTGCAGTGCCAGCATCCTCTTTGGGCACCAATTTTAGTCCTGGGTGATCTATTTCCAGTTTAGCGCTCAGCTAATGGCCTGGGAAAGCAAAGAAGCATCACACTCAGGTTATTGGGTATCCACATCCACATGGGAAACTCAGAAGAGACACTCCAGGCTCCTGGCTTTGGACAGCTCCTGCTCCAGCCAATGAGACCGTTTGAGGAATGAACTAGCAGATGGAAGATTGTTCTCCCCTTCTCTTTCTGTATATATGCACCTTTCAACTAAAAATAAGTGAATTTTATTTTTTTTAAAAAGGAAGTGTCTCAAAAATCCTCACTGTTCTGAAACAGAAGCCCAATGGTGAACACTGAAGACAGTGCAGGCAATATTTAAGGGGTGAGCATCTGGCCTCATGACTGAGTCACCAGTTGGGCGCAGGTCTCAGCTGTGATCCCAGGGCCAGCTTCCTGAAGAGGCAATTGCTGTGGGTAGCAAGGAGAGCTACAGTAGTCGGGCCTGCTACCCCTGTGAGAGAGCTGAACTGTGTCCCCAGGCCAGCCTTGGCCCCACAGGCATTCTGGAAGCAGAGTCACAGGAAGGAGGTGCAGAGGAGTCAAGCAATGATCCAAGCAGGGATTACGCACAAGGAGACGGCCTTGTTCCAGTGCTATGGTCACTTTTCCATGCCGTGTAGACGGTCAGTGACGGACAGAGGAGGCGTTAGTAAGACAGCTCTCGTTCCAGTGCTACGGTCACTTCTCCATGCCGTGTAGACGGTCAGTGGCGGACAGAGGAGGCGTTAAGGGCTCCTGAACACATGACTGGCCTCTCCAGGACATGATAAACAAAACCACCATGGTTAGGAACCCTAAAAGTGTGATGCATGTGTCTGCATGTCACTTTCCATCCTTCAGTTAAAATCCTGATGCTTTATATGAGGGTTCTTCAAGAAGCTCATAGAGAATTTTTTTAAATGAAAAAAAAAAATGCAAGGATTTCTCATTTTTGCACCTTCTTTGAAGTCCATTTCCCACAAACTTTTTGAAGTTCCCCCATTCATGGAAAAAACCAAAAGTGTAAAAAAAAAGTTGAATTCAGGCTTCCTTTCCAATTATGTGGTCACACAAAGGCCTCAAGGAGCTGCTTTCTTCCTCAGACACAGACACTCAGAAAAGCTGGGTGTGGTATTTCCACCTCCCCTTTGGCCGCGAAAGGCTGTTATGATGCACCTGCTGCCACCCGACTTCCATGTGGCTCTGCCACAGTTGTCAGAACTCGCAGTGGGCTGTCTCTCTCCACTCCACCAAGAGTCACTGCATAGGAAAACACAGTGAAGCACAAACTCACCTCTCCCACGACTTCCACTCACTGGCCCACTACTCGTCAGTGCCAAGGATTCTTAAACTAAGAAATCCTACAAACCACACAAGTCCACACCAAAGGAAGACATGTGTCCAGAAACCAACTGCATGGGTGCTCATAGACACCACCTAACCCACTCGGCCCTAGCGCGTGACTCAGACATCAGGGCTCTGTTCCCAGGTCTACCAAAGGTACGTTACCCCAAGTCTATGCACAAGAACACGCTGACCAGCAGGGAGAACAGAGGATGAAACTGCAGGTACAAATATATACAGGAAAAGTGGAAAATGTTCTTCATTGGTAATATGAAACTTTGCTAAGTATTCTCTGTTTCTATCAACATTGCTACGGTTTTTGAAATCACAGAGAAAGAAACGCTGGGGGAAGGGGCTGCGCTGCAGTGCACCAGCGTGCTCCCATGACCAAGCATCCCACATGAGCACAGCTTTGAGCCTCAACTGTCCCACTCCCCATCTCTGGCCAGGCAGCAGAGGAAGGCAGAGTACTGGGGCCCCTGCCACCACATGGGAAACCAGACACTGATGCCTTCAGTCTGGGCCGTCTGGGGAGTGAATAAACAGGTGGAAGCCCTCACCCTTTCTTTCTGTAATTCCACCTTTCAAACACATAAAATAGGTCTTGAAAAAAAAAGTCCTCACAGCTAGGGACTTCTTGATGGCTATTCACAGCTATATACTTCTGTCATTTCATTCTCTTCTAAAATCACAAGACTCACCCACATGTCCTCAAATGTCTCAAAGCAGTATTAAGCAGGGAATAGCAGGTTGCAAAGCATGCTATGCTCATGATCTTATCTATCCAACACTATTTACTGCACTTTTACTTGTACCAAGGACTGTCCTGAGCATATTCAGTAGAAAGCAAATATAGGAATATAAAAAGAATAAAACATTTGAATAATCAAGTGTTCTGTAGTGATGAGTGCTAAGAAGAAAAATGAAGCAGCATAAGGCCACATCTTCCTGAGAACACCAGATATGCTGCCACAGAAGCATCTGCCTGCAGGGATGTTGCGGCAGACATGTGGGCAAGGGGCTGAAGGTATGCGGTGCTAACCATGGCTGCCCAGAAAGCACCACAGGTAGGACATCAGAGCGGGCATCGGGGCCAAGTCACGCAGGGCCTGTCACAGTCAGGGTGTGGTGGCAACCCTTCGAGAGTGCAGAGCAAGGGATCAATACCACGAGATGTACATTCTAAAAGAACTACTCTGGGTGAGAGGAGAAACAATGTCTCTGGCACAAGACTACAAGGGGGAGACTGCTAGGGAGGCCTCCACTGAAGGCCGAGGAAACTAAGATGGCCACAGTCACGGGGAGAGACCAGGAGGCCTCCACTCAAGGCCGAGGAGAACTACGATGGCCACAGTCACGGGGAGAGACCAGGAGGCCTCCACTGAAGGCCGAGGAGACTAAGATGGCCACAGTCACGGGGAGAGCGATCAGGAGGCCTCCACAGAAGGCCGAGGAGACTAAGATGCCACAGTCACGGGGAGAGAGATCAGGAGGCAACAGGCATTTCTAAAAGGAAAGCCAACAGGCTCAGAAAAACAAGCCAGCGAGGACGCCACGGTTTCTGCTTTGGGAAGGTGGGCAGACAGAGGCTGTTATCACACTAGGAACCCTTAGGAGAATACCCAACTCAGCTGTTCAGAAGCAGCATCCACGCAACCGACACATAACGGAGCCTGCTTTGTCTACTCACCATTTGCAGATTGTATCATGTTTCCAGATTTTTGAACCTCATCAAACTTTGTAAAAATTACATTCAACCTGCATGAAAATGAAAACAAACACAAATTATTAATCATCACTGTCCATAGTCAAGTGCATTAAAACACTAATGTGAGACTGATTTCACCATGCAATGATACAGATCTAGGTAACAGCAAATAGTAACAAGAGCTCATAATTGAGCACTGGTGCAAAGATCCAGCTGAGAGATACCCCACCTCACAGGAGCACCTGCAAAGATGGCCTCTGCCCACAGGACAGACAAGCAAACCAAGACCCACCCCTTGCACAAGGAACTGCAGTCCTGCTGAGGAGAATCCAGGCTTCTTGCAATCAAAATGCAACTACTCCGCACAAAATTCTAACTATGAAAAGGATCTAATTTTCCTATGTCTTTCTGAGCACAAGCTGTCAACTGCTTAGCATTAAGCTTTTAAAAATGCTTTCATGTCACACTACACAGCCTTTGTACAACTTCCTTAATTCAGAAAGGCTACGAATGATTTCTCTAGTAGGAAATGTTGCTAGTGGATAATCTTTAGGTTTAACAAATCTTCATGACTCCCATTCTGTTAGTGCATCATTTCAACCTGACATTTAAATTGAAACAAAACTCCTTAGCCAGTCAAAATATTCCATCCTAATGACATAAAAAATAAGAGAAAAAGGATAGGAGGACAAACTCAACCCTTCTATAAAAAGCAAAGATCCAAGAGTCTTCGAGAAAAGCAAAGGGACACTGGATTCAGCTCAAAGGCGGAGGCAAAAGCAAGGTCCTTCGGTATTCTCACTGAAGCCACTCACTTCTGGGGCCAGACTGGCAATTTAGAACTTTCTAACACGCCAACCTGTCCTACCAGCTCTAACCATTCCAAACATGTCTTCAGACTGCTGCAATGGTTCAACTGGCTCATCTGTCCCCTTGCAAGTGCGAGTTCTAATTCTGGCAGCTCCACTTCCCATCCAGCTCCCTACTTGTGGCCTGGGAAAGCAATCAAAGATGGCCCAAAGCCTTGGGACCCTGCACCTGCATGGGAGACCCAGAAGAGTTTCCTGATTCCCGGCTTCGGGTTGGCGCAGCTCTGGCCGTTGCGCTCACTTGGGGAGTGAATCATTGGATGGAAGATCTTCCTCTCTGTCTCTCCTCCTCTATATATATCTGACTTTGTAATAAAAAGAGATAAGTCTTTAAAAAAAAAAATATATATATATATATATATTCTACCAACAATGAGGCCAAAATACCCACTAGCAAAACGAAGGTAGTGAGCCCACCTGATTCACTGCACCCCCATTTCCCATTCCTGCGGAGACACAGCCAACTTCTCCAGCCATCTTTTCCTCTAAGCCCAGATGCAGCTTCACAAGCCTCTTAGGTTGCTCCAGATTATTTAATTAAAACCCACTAATCAAACTGAAATTTTAAACAATCTAACTCTCATTCCAAGCCTAGATATGAACAAAACTCCCACTCACTTTTAAGTCCAGTGTCTGGAAAGATGTCTTAAAATCACTCCCTACGATGTTTCGTTTCCCTCCCTAGCCTAACCAGTCCATAAATAACATCACTGCCCAGGTTGCCAGGGCTTGCCCCCCAAGGTGCCACTTTGTTGAGTCACAAACACCACCTCTGATGTGAGCCTGTCAGCAAGCTCCCAGGAGGTGACTTCAGTCCAACTGTCCTGAGATAACTAGCAGAGACAGAAAACACAGGTACAATGGAGGCTGTGGACTCACTTCTCTCTCCATGTCAAGGATTACTCAGTGCCACTGGCAGGCCGACACAACTAAACAGGCGACTATTACAAAATGCCTGGCGCTGGCGAGCCCCTGCACCGTCACCTACAATTCCTTAGGCAGGCCTCGTCCCCCACTGTCCCTGTCCTCTCTCCCCAGCACTCATTCTCTGCTTCATAAAGTCACTCACAGGCTCCTGCCAAGCACAGAATCTGCAGAGGGCAGCAGCCTGCCTCTACCATCTACACCACCATGGGGCCCTCAGAGACTGAAGCCTGCAGAGGGCAGCAGCCGGGCTCTGCAGTCTACAGCAGCACACAGCTCTGAGGGACTGAAGCCTGCAGAGGGACTGAAGCTTACAGAGGGCAGCAGCCGGGCTCTGCCGTCTATACTAGCATGCAATCCAACAGCTCCCACTAGCCCCTAGCACAGTAAAATAAAGGCCTCCCAAGGACACTACCAATCTACACAAATCTAAAGGATGGGTTTCTACATTAAAAGTCACTGGCTGTGTAACTAATGATGATTTTCTGAAGCCATTATATATATATTTTTTTGAAATCTCTGGATCTCAATTTATAATAATAAATTTCTCTACTTGCTTGACAAATAACCACTAACATTTTTTCCTCATTTCTGCAAATTAAGATTTTAAATTAAACTCTTGAGTCCATCAAATTGGAGCTCTATCCAATGAACTACTTGCTAGCATATTTTACAACATAAAATAGTCATTGGAACCATGCCCTAGAGGTGAAGACTAACAAGCCCACAGCATACACCACCCACTCGGCTCAGAGTTTCTGCTGAGCACTAGCGACCACAAGGACTATAGGACGGACACCTGAGGCAGAGACAGCAGCTGACACCAAAAAGAAGCAAAGCCACGTTCTGAAGGACAGCAGAGTGTGAACAAGAAAACTTCACAAGTCCTGCCCCAACATTCACTATAGAAGGAGACTGGCAGAACAAGGACCCCCAAAGAGGCAAGATAACACTGAACAGAAATGTCCAAATCAACCTTTTCAGAACTCTGAAAATGGAATGAAGAGCTGCAAGCCACTGAATTTCTCAGAAAACAGCTGGCTGTTGGCAGGAACATCAGACGTCTGTTGTAGCAGGCGCTCCGCACGACTGCACCTGCCCAGCACCTGGCCCAGAGAAGCATCCTTCTAGCTGCAGGCACATCCCTGCACCCTACTTGCAGCCTTGCCTCCACCGAGAACTAATCTGAGGCTCTAGAGGACAGGATCAGTCAGGAGCAATCACTTGGCAGCTGCCAGGAGTCAGCAACACATTGTGGCAAAGCAGCTGACCACACCTGGAGAGGAGAAATCAGCACGAGATGGTGGCCGGAAACTTTGGTAGCACCCACATACTGGGACCCCAGAAGGCCACATGAACGTGCAGGGCAGAGCCAGAAGGGCATCTTTGACCTGGAGACTCTGCAGGAGCTGGAGAAGAGGCAGAGGTGTAAACTCCCTGTCCACACACTGGGAGACACCTCTACCCAAGCGCTAGCTGACCACTAAGCCAACCGAGCAAGCTTCAGTGTCCAGACAGCAAAGCAGACAGACCTTACAGCATTAGAAAACAGAACTAAACAGAAATTCTACAAGGGAAAATACAGTGGAAGTGAACACATCATTTCCGGGGCTTATCGGCAGCACAGGGGGTAATGATGGACAGGCCCAGATCATCTTACAACAGCAATTATTAAAGTTCAAACAATAAAGTCCGAGGAGTGGATCAGAAGAAACTGAAGCAGTTAACAGTCAAAATAATCATGAATTTGATATAGAACATGAACGTACAGCCTCAAGAAATGCACCAGGGGCCAGCGTTGTGGCAGTGCAAGGTAAAGTACCACCTACGACCTGAGGACCCCATCTGGGGTTCGCTCGGCTGTCCTACTTCTGATCCAACCCCTGCTCACTGCCTCAGGAGGCCAGTGGAAACTGACCCAAGGGCTGGGAGCCCTGCCACCCACACTGGAGACCAGATGGACTTTCAGACTCCTGGCTTTAGCTGGGCCCAGCACTAACCCTTGGGGCCTGACCAGGCAGTGGAAGAAACATGCTCCTCTGTTTCCCACTTTTTGAAACTGTATTACAAATACATGTTAAAAACAACAAACATAACTAAGTAGGAAATAAATAAACATAAAGGCATTTTAAACTCTTATTGTCCTAGGTAGCTTCAAAAGGACAGGCATAAAGCAATCACTACAAAACCAAGTGAGTTGGTGGACTTAAAATATACAAAGGTAATTTTCATGACAATAATAGCAAAAAGAGGATAGAAAACAGTTATAGTTTAATTTTAAATACTGAAATTAAATGACACTAAACCCAAAGAAATTGTTAAAACATGTTAATTACAATCCACAGGGTAAACATTAAAAAAGTAAATTTTGTAAACCTCGAAACATTTCGATTTCAAACTGAAACCATAAAATATATGTCCTCTGATTAAAATGAGCAGAAATTAAATATCAGTAACAAGAAAAAAGTAACAAATCATGTGGCTATTAAACAAAATGCCCCTAAGCAATAAGCAGTAAAAGTCAAACACAAAAAGGCAGTCAGTAAAACACAGCTGCAAATGAGTCAGCAACACAAGGAATCTGGAGAGTTGGTTAAAGTAGTACTTCAGAGAGACATCTATAGGTGTAAATGCCTACATTAAATAAGAGACATCTGCAAAGAAAAACCTTCCATCTTTAAAACTGGAACTCCGACTATATGACCAATTTTCAACTCAGAAAAAAAGTTAAATTAAAACTTGCAGGCTCAGGATAATTGCTCAGTAGTTACCCTCGCCTTGCACGCACTGGGATCCCACACGGGCCCTGGTTCGAGTCCCAGTGGCCTCTGCGTGTGGCCTGGGAAAACAGTTTCAGATGGCCCAAAGAACTGGGACCCTGCACCTTCGTGGGAGACCTGGAAGAGCTCCTGGCTCCTGGCTTCAGATCAGCCCAGCTCCAGCCATGTGGCCTCTTGGGGAGTAAATCAACAGACAAAAGATTGTCCTGACTCTCCTCCTATCTGTATCTCTGACTTTCCAATAAAAAAATAAAGTCTTTAAAAAAGAGAGTTGTTACAGTATAAACCACTGGGGTTAATGTACACAAGTTGGAAAAACACTGCAGGATTCCAGGTCAAGATTTTAAAAGAGCCTATCTTACTCCTCATTAGTAGTGAAGCACTGTAAAGCCAAAACCAAGGGGGTCAGTTATACCTACACTAACATCCAGAGAATAAACCACATGGGGATGGGGATGACTTTCTTCCAAGAAGCGC